GTTGCCTATTTATACCATTATCCTTGCAAAAGTCATTAAATTCTTGTGATGTAAATTCACCACCCCTGTCAGTACGCAAGCATTTGATGAATATATTTGTTTCTTTCTCCACGTGATTTTTAAAGCTTCTAAAAGTGTCAAAAGCTTCAGATTTTTCTACTAAAAAATATACCCATGTTTTACGACTATAGTCATCAATGAAAGTAATTAGGTACCTCTTTTTGCTATTTGAGGCTGGTGTAATAGGCCCGCATATGTCAGCATGTATCAACTGTAGGATTTGAGATGCTCTCCACGTGCTCACTTTAGGAAATGGATCCCTCTGTTGCTTTCCCGCAAGGCAGTCTTTACAAATTTTAGAGGGAGTTTTGAGTTGTGGAAGACCATTCACCATCCCTTTTTGCTCAAGAATCCTTAAGCCTTTAAAGCCTAAATGTCCAAATCTACAGTGCCATAACTGAGTTGAGTCTTCAGTAATTGTGTTGAAACAAGCCGATACACTTGACTGAGGCTTAACCGGCAAAATGAACATTCTGTTTGAGGACATTATAGTTTCCATGATCAAGCCTTTCTCCTTATGATAGATCTTGCATTTTCCATGTTGAAAAATGATAGTTAGCCCCTTTTCTTGTAGCTGACCAATGCTCAACAAGTTGTTCTTTAGCTCAGGAACATAGAACACACTAGTAATGATATGTGAGATTCCATTCAATTGAAATCTCACATTTCCTTTTCCTTTCACAGCCATGCTGGAATTGTTTCCTAACTTCACAGTTTCACTAAAATTTTCATCCAAATCAGAGAATACATCCTTCTTACCACACATATGATTACTACACCCTGAGTCAATGAACCATGCTTCTTCCTTATCTGATTCTTTACTTTCCACGGATGCCATCAAAAGCATTTCTTCTTGAAATTCTGCATAATTGACTTCACTCTCCTTGCTTGGACATTCATATTGAAAATGACCAAGTTTATGGCAATAATAACACTCCACAGTGGACTTGTCAAAATTTGACATGCCCCTTCCTCCACCTCGTCCGCGAAATCCTCCACGACCACGACCGCGACCTCTTGATCTGTTTTCATAGGTTACTTTCAAGGCTTGCTCTTCAATAACAGGAACATTCATGCGTTGCTCATGCACCAGCAAGCTACTTTGTAGTTGGTCGACTGATAAGGCGTCAATGTCATTTGACTCCTCAATAGAGCAAACAACATAGTTGAATTTTGGAGTCATGGACCGCAAATTTTTTTCAATAACAGTAACATCTCCCATAGTCTCTCCATGGGTTCTCATCTTGTTGGCTATGGTGAGGGTTCGAGAAAAGTACTCGTTCACCGATTCTCCAGCTTTCATCTGCAAGATTTCAAATTCCCTTCGAAGTGCTTGTAGTTGTGCTCGTTTAACCCTTGCCGTCCCTTGATACTTCTGCTTCATTGAGTCCCAAATGTTCTTTGACGTTTCTTTCTTCAAGATTGTCTCCAAGATAGATCTATCAATTGCTTGAAAAAGATAATTCTTTACCTTTAAATCCTTGAGTTTTTGATCTTCAACAGTTTTTCTTTGTGCCTCAGTTGATTCTGCACCCCCAACTGCTGTAGGGATCCCATTTTCAACCAAGCTCCAGTATTCCTTGGATCGAAGGAAGTTCTCCATGAGCATTGCCCAATGATCATAGTGACCATCAAACTTTGGAATGGATGGTTGAACAAAACTGCTGTTTTCTGCCATCTGCTTGAAAAGACTGCTGCGTTTCAAGTATTGATCAGGCCCCTTCTAGAGGAGCTCTGATACCAATTGTAAAGGATACGTGTTTACAAAATAATAGGGAGTATATTTCTTATTCAATTGAATAAAAGAAATGGCTCTTTAATAGCCTTACAGAAACTGAATCAGAGAAAAAATAGCCCACTCTAACAAACACTAAAAATGTGGGATAGTGGCAAGAGAATAGGTAAAAGCAATAACTCACTAACAGCACTAACATTGCTTATTCTAACTGACAGTAAATTAACATAAAAGAAAAAACAATTTTAACAGGTTGAAGTGTTTCTCCCTTCTTGCTAACGATCATCACCTTAACAATATTCATCTTCATTATCCTTTTGGAGGGGTTACTTGCCCTTGGAGCACCATAATTGATGGATGTGATGTATTAGCGCCTCGCTTTATGGATTTCTTCTTCCTTGATTCATCTATATTTTCCAGTTTTTATTCTAGAAATAGCTTCAAAAATGTTCTTGGGGGACTTCTCTCAATGCGAGGAGCGCTTATTCTTCGATAAGCCTTCTTGACTTCTCATACCTCTCTTGTTATATCGGATGTATTCAGTCATCTAAACTTTTTAATCAGTCATTCTATTGCATTTTTCAGTTGGATGCAACCATTCATGTTGTGATCGTGACTCTTATGGAAATAGTAGTACCATGACTTATCTGTTCGGGTTGATTCCCTGGCCGAGAAAGGATTCCTTATTTCTGCCTCCTTTAACTCAATGTTTGTGCATTTGTTCCAAATTTTATCCCTCAAAGCATTCAGGGGAGTGTAGGTGCTGAATATGGATTTGGGTGGCGTTCCCCTTCTTCTTTGTGATGGTGACCGTCTTTTTCTAGTACACGGTAGAATTTGGAATTCCCTACTTTTCATCTAGGTATTTTTCTTCATAATTGATGTAAAATTGTGCCCTACTCAATAAATATTTAAACTATGGGCTTCCTCGAGTCAACTTCTCTCGAAACATGCGGTCCTGCCTCAACACCCTTTTAAATATCCAACACTTTAAACAATCATATGTGTGTCCCACGACTACTGCCACTTTGGTGAAGCAGTCAATGTACTCTAATAGTATCTCCTTTTTATGAGAGATCCTAATGAGCACAACCATTATCATGGGTTACCACTTTCAAGCACTGAAATGAGTGGTGAAGGCTTTGCAAAAATTTTCCTATGAATCTATGCTCCTGTCTAGGAAGGTTTTAAACCGAGTCATCACAGATCTAATCAAAGTTAGTATAGAAAGCTTTCACTTTACCACTCTTTAGGCATGATAATAGTTTATTCAGTCATCCTCGTTTTCATTATGCTCGTCTAGATCCCATGTACCATCATAACTTTGAAGCATTGAAAGATTATCTAGTTATCTCAAAATCCTGTTATCGAGTGTGCGAGAAGACAAATGGTTTATTTTTTATCTAAGACTGGAGAGTCTTCATCATACCTCCCTATTCTTCGAGGATAATGGACTTCTAGGTTAATATGGTTGTCGCTTCCCCCTCCAGAATCAATGGAAAGTGTCATGTGTCTTTGATGTTGTCGAAGACCTCAGGATTTCTTCTTGGAACATCGCTACTTAGATGGAAGTCGACCAAGGAATGGCAGCTTGTTTTCTTTGGGAGGCCGAATCTTGCACGATACTATTCTTTGGACTAATGTGTTACAATCTCTCTTTAATCCTAAACACCCTTGCATCTAGGGATTATGAATTTTGTTGTTGCATTATGTTATAAACATTATTGATCATATCATTTGCTCCATGTCACCAAGGTTAGCCTATAACAGTGGAAGGTTTGGGAGCATTTCCTATCCAGGCATCATAGGTAGTGGTGGAGGCCGGTGTGAAGGTTCATTGATGAAACTGTTGTAAAGATTTGGAGAAGCATAAGTCTGGAATACTTTTTGACCGACTCTCGGTGGAGCGAGATCTTGCTGTGATGGATTGGAAGAAGATTCTAATAAGACTGACTCGTTCTTTGTTGGAGGAAGGGGAGGTGGATCTTTGACAGCCTCAACAACTGCATCAGGGGCTTGTCCTAAAACGAAAAATTGAGCGGCTTTACGTGACACTATGGTTGACGAATCATGAAAAAAAATTGTTGGAAAGAATGTTGAAATTCTATGAGTAATATCAAGAAACTGAGATCTAAAGTTCTGAGAGGGGGATTTGGATCAGAGAAAGTATGAACACAAAAAATTGAGAAACGAAGATCTGAAGCTCTAAGAGAGAAGATTTATATCTCTAGATCACAAAAGATCTGAACACAGAAGATTGAGAGATGGATATATGAAGATCTTAGAGAGGAGATCTAGTTGTGGAAATTTGTGAGAATTAGAATTTGATTCCTAGAAATGACGTCATTGTTCAATGGTGGAATCAAAGTTGTTCGATGAACGATGAAGTAGTGTTTACTACAGGGGACTTGAGCTTCTAGTATGGTGGAGAGGGAAATGATATGCAATGTTAACACTCTAGCGTTCAAGTCAATAAGAGTGAGAATGAATTTGAATACATGAGAGTGACGTGTTTTCTCTCTTAAATAGCAAAAACAGATTGAAATTGAAAGCGTGGAGTCATGTGCGGATTGCGACCAACCGTCTATTTAATCTGGATGGCTAACAATACTTTCTCTAATGTTTTTTCATAAGAGACGTTTCACCTTTTTAAATTCATTAAATAATTAATGTATCGAGTATGTATTAAAAATCAAATACGTAAATTTAGAAAGGTAAGAGTATTTCTTTTGGTTTTTAAACAATACAAAAACTCCATGCTAGAAATGGAGATTATGCTAACCATATCAGCATTCCAAATCAAGTTTCCATTTCATCAAAATCTAAACTGTTAAATCTGTAATTTTTTTATTCCTTTTGATTTACATATTCAAACAAAAAAAATATTGGAAAACCTATGTATAAATGGCAGGTATCACCTAGTATGGACAAATGCATAATCAGATCAAGAGAAGAGTGATCTAAGTTGACAGCTACTAACTATAAATAGCGGAACAATAATAATTTTCTCTCCCTAACTATTAATTACGCGGCATTCCGTTTTCTCAGCTTCTTTTCCCATGGATTCTATTTTTTAACTTTTATTTTCATCCTCAACGTCTCAATCCAAATAATCAACGTATAATTTTCACAACTTTTGATCGATAACGGTTGCAGATTTATCGTACAGAAGAAGAACGGGAATGGTAACGTTTGATTGAAGAATATGGATTCGGCTAGGAGTTGGTTATCCAAGTTTCAACCGCGAGATAGACTGAGAGCTTCAACGAGGAAGAAGGACGACGTTATGGGCGGAGGCGAGGATTCTGATGCGTCTGTTGATGATGAGAGTCTTTCCAATGTTACAAAGCAGAAGGTAGCGGCTGCGAAACAGTATATTGAGAACCATTACAAGGAACAGATGAAGAGTCTTCAAGAGAGAAAGGAGCGGTATATTTCATTTCATGATTTGAAAAATATCACCGAGTTTGTAAAATAGGTTGGATTTAGAATGATTAAGATATTGAAGACAAATATGTTGCGGAGTTTTCTAATTCCTCCCTTATGACAGGCGGACCATCTTGGAAAAGAAGTTGGCTGATGCTGATGTATCCGAGGAAGATCAAAATAACCTACTTAAATTTCTAGAGAAGAAGGAGACTGAATATATGCGTCTTCAGAGGCATAAAATGGGTGTTGAGGATTTTGAGATGTTGACTATGATTGGAAAAGGCGCGTTTGGGGAGGTATTTATGTGCTTACATATGACGCAATAGGTTACTCTATCTTTCACTTTATAACTCTTTATATACCTGGGTATTTGAATTTGTTGCAGGTTAGAGTCTGCAGGGAAAAGACTACCGATCATGTATTTGCAATGAAAAAGCTAAAGAAATCAGAAATGCTTCGGAGAGGCCAGGTTTATACTCGTTGGTCTTGCTACATTATACTCTCCTGACGAGAAGTTGTTATGTAGAGTTTATTGAAGTCATTACCCTTATTTTTGTTGATTATTCAGGTTGAACATGTCAGAGCTGAGAGGAATCTCCTTGCAGAGGTGGACAGCAATTGCATAGTTAAACTTTATTGTTCTTTTCAGGATGATGATTATTTATATCTTATAATGGAGTATCTACCGGGAGGGGATATGATGACTCTACTTATGAGAAAGGATACATTGACCGAAGATGAAGCCCGATTTTATGTAGGAGAAACAGTTCTGGCTATTGAATCTATACATAAACACAATTATATACATAGGTATCTATAGAATTGGTAATTTATTTCATACTATATAAGTCAAATTCAATTATTTCATGCATGATTGTAAGAAATAAGTATTGTTACGGTTGGATTTCACATGGTCTCCAAAATGATCATATGTTGAAAACTATTTAATGCTTGAGTCTGATTTATTTATCTTCATAGAAGTTTAGATATATGTTTAAGAATGTAAAGAACTTAGTCAATTGTACATTATAAATTAATCTTCTCTATATGTTATGTTGCAGGGATATTAAGCCTGATAATTTATTACTGGATAAATACGGGCACTTGAAACTATCAGATTTTGGATTATGTAAACCGTTAGACTGTAGTACACTAGAAGAATCAGATTTTTCTAATTGTCAGAATGCAAATGGAACTGGACAAAGTGATGATCGTGCAGGTCCGAAACGTACACAACAAGAACAGTTGGAAAACTGGCAGAAAAACAGGAGGACACTTGTAAGTTCATTGCTATTGTGTCGTGTTTATTACTATGACAAAATGTAACTGTGAATCTTGACACTTTATGATGAATTGGGTTTCTGTTTTTGGTTTATTGTAAATATGAATGTACAATTGATGCAGGCTTATTCTACTGTTGGTACACCAGATTATATTGCTCCTGAAGTTCTATTGAAGAAAGGTTATGGGATGGAATGTGATTGGTGAGTTCTGTGTATGATTGATTGCTGGCATTAAAATTATGACACTGTATAGCAGATACCACTTAGTGATAAAAGGCTTTATCGTTGTCAGCGCGCGTATTTTGTTTTGAAAATTGACAATTATTTATTTCACAGGTGGTCACTTGGAGCTATTATGTATGAAATGCTGGTGGGATATCCACCTTTTTATTCTGATGATCCAATGTCAACATGCAGGAAGGTAATCTTTTGGTTTTCTTTACAGACGGCTAACCTTCTCTTTTGATTAAACCGATACTTTTTCTTTCTTTTGGTTTACCACTGTTAATTCATCTGTGGCATGATTAACCTGTCACTGGTTGTAATCATAATAGATAGTGACACCTCAAGGATTAGGCATGTCATGGTGTCTGACTATATTTTTTACGTCAAGGCTATCTCCGGAGGCCATAGATCTTATCTACCTTTCTATTTTATGCAGATAGTAAACTGGAAGTCTCACTTGAAATTTCCTGAAGAAGCAAGGCTATCTCGGGAGGCCATAGATCTTATAAGTAAGCTGTTGTGTAATGTGAGCCAGAGACTGGGGTCAAATGGTGCAGTTGAAATAAAGGTGTTGTATGGTGTGTCCTTTTCTAATTTATTAAATGTGTCACAAGAAATTTGGATATAGAAATTAAATTTCCCTTATTTTGTATTCCTCTGCAGTCTCATTCATTCTTCGAAGGTGTTCAATGGGAAAAGTTGTATCAAATGGAAGCTGCATTTACTCCTGAAGTCAATGATGAGTTAGATACTCAAAACTTTGAAAAGTTTGAAGAGGTATATTGTTTTTTTTTTGTATTGCTATTCACACAAGGTTATTCAGCTTGGCTAAGTTATCTTCCTTTTACACTTTTCCATCTGCAGGCTGACAGCCAGACTCATTCATCATCAAGAGCTGGTCCGTGGAGAAAGGTAATCTTAGGGTTTTGTTTCTGTGTTGGCAATTGTCATACAATGTGTTTCTTCATAATTTTTCATTGCTGAAAATTTCATTTTTTTTTCATTCGTCTGTCTTGCTCATTGGGATGTTGCAGATGCTTTCATCTAAGGACTTTAATTTTGTGGGATACACATACAAGAACTTTGAAATTGTAAACGACTATCAAGTTCCTGGGATGGGTACATTGTCTCTCTTTTCTTTTACTTATATCTCTCTTTTCTTTTGATGATTTATGTTCTTTGTGTTGATTGTTTTTGCTTTCCTCTTGCTGTGCAGCTGAACTGAAGAAAACCTCCAAACCAAAGAGGCCATCTGTCAAATCGCTGTTCGGTGAGCTTACTTCTTTTTAACCATTAGTTTCCTTAAAATTCAAATTCAAACATTTTCTTTTGATTATGTGTTGTTCTTTGTATACATTTATGTTTCTTGCTTATAATACTAACTAACTATTCTCTTCCAATCAAACCGGGGTGACATTATAGACGGGGACTCGGAGAGTTGTGATGTGTCTGATATTTCAGATGTGTCTGCAAACAATCAACCTGCTTAATGAAGTAACTCTTCCCTTGACACCCAAATTACAAGTATCTCAAAGCTTGAAGGAACCTTCCTCACAACAAGGCAGACTCTGATGATGATCTACCTGCTCAGAAATTATAGTTGCAATGACTCAACTCAAGCCTGTGGCATTTTGACCATTTTTTATATAATTCTTGATGTTATTCATGTTTGGATCATTCTTGGCAACATTAACGTTTTACATGATTAATGGTTTGAGGAAAAGCTGGGAGGAGGTGTTGTCTCTAGAATCAAGTTAGCCTCATTTTGGCTTAGGCGAATCTTGCAAGTTTTGTTGGTCACACCACAGCTATAGAATTGTAAATTTCTTATTATCTGTCAGTTGTGAAATATATGTGACAATGTGGATATTCATTTATAAATAAAATTAGTTTTAAAAAACGTGTATATTAGCATGTATTCTTTTACATTAACCTAGACAACAAAGTATTTAATCTAATAGATAGAATTTGGATCAACAGAAAGATTAAGGAAAGAAAGAAGGAAGCGATGAAAGTTTCCTGAATTTTATGCTTGCCTAGTTTGGATGTTTTATGAATAGGGAAGGAAAGAATAATGAATTTTTTAGTGTCCTACACCTTTTTACACACTAAATCCCAATATACCGTCTTCTTCATTCAATAATCCCAATCTACCCTCTTTTCAAACAATTTTTTTTGCCACAACACATCCGCCAATTGAATGGACGGAGCAGTGAATTTTTTTTCGATTCCGCTGAAGCATTGGGCGGAAGCTTTAAATATTAGAGAGGGTCCGCCCATTGGATGGGTGGAAGAGTGCAAACGTGATTTTTTATTTATTTTCTAAATTAAATTGTTATAATTAAATAAAATACATTATAATTAAATAAAATACACTATAATTAAACAAAATATACTATAAATAAACAAAAATTTCACTAATTTACTTATATTAATTTTTTTTCATTTTAAATTATATAATTCCACTATAATTAAACAAAGATTCAATATAGAAGATACATCTACTGTCGATTTTGATCGGGTCGTGTCAATCGTTGGTGAGTTCCACAAACAGGTGTTCATCTAGTACGTTGGTCTGTTCTGCGATTTCCTTCTTCATTTTGTGGTTGAGCTGAAGGTCCCGCATCACACCCGCCCATTAAAAATTCCTCAATCATGTCCTCATTGGTATAGTCTATCTCGGCTGCACTGGCATAACTTAATCTGGTTCCCTCTCAATTCGAATTTGGTATGGGATTAGAAGACATTGGACTATTTATTAAGGGTTGGTAACAATCTTGGGAGGTAATATTTTCTCAGTTGTCTTTGCCCTAGTGGAAGGTGAGACGGCGGATGGTTGGGGTTTCTTTCTAAAAAACTTGAGAATGCATGTAGCTCCTCAACCTGGCTTGTATTTGATTTCTGACCGACATGCATCTATCGAAAGCGCTTATAACAATCCTGAAAATGGTTGGAATAACACTACATTTGTCCATGTGTATTGTATTAGGCATATTGCGCAAAATTTTATGAAGGATATCAAGGATCGTATCCTCCGAAAAAAATAATCAACATGGGTAAGTACCTTTTATGCAAACATTACATGCTCGTTGATAGTATACCATTATATTAACCAATATTTTTTGTAACATGTAGGGTATGCGTTGAACCAACCAACGTTTAAATATTATCGTAATCAAATTGGGATGACTAATGGTGATGATTTGGGGTGGATAGACAAAATTTCAGTTGAAAAATAGACGAGGGCATTTGACGAGGGTCGTCGTTGGGGGCACATGACAACAAACCTTGTCGAGTCATTAAATTCCGTATTTAAAGGCACTCGTAATCTCCCTATCACAGCGTTAGTAAGTGCAACATACTATAGGATATGAACACTCTTTGCTGAAAAGGGGTGCAAAGTGGAGTGCAGTTTTGAATTCTGGACAAACATTTACAGAGTGGTGCGTGAAGGTGATGAAAGAAGAGACGTCAAAATCCGCCACGCATCAGGTAAGCATTTTTTACTATAATAATAACACTTTCAGTGTGAAGGAGATAATTAACCACGGTGAGGGAAAGCCATTGGGGCGTTACAAGGTCAACCTAATGGAAGGATGGTGTGACTGCGGAAAGTTTCAAGCATATCGTGTTCCTTGTTCACATGTTATCGCTGCATGTTCCGTGGTGCGCCAAGACACATTTCTTCTATTTTCTGACGGTTACAAGGTGGCGAACTTATTTGGAGTTTACAGCACGAGCTTTCCAGTTCTACCATACGATGAGTATTGGCCCACTTATGAGGGAGATCAAATTTGCCATAATTCAGTTATGCGGAGGAACAAGAAAGGTCGTCCCGTGAGCACCCGTATTACAACAGAAATGGATGCATATGATAAGTTGGAGAGAAAATGCACATTGTGTCGTCTTCCAGGTCACAACCGAACGCGATGCCCCAATGTAGGAACTCGTAATAATTAGTTATTCATTTTGTTATCAATCTTCAAAGTTGTATGTATAATGACGCCAAGAAATTATGTTTCATTTCACTAATACTTCTGCATTTAATATAAATAACAATTCGAAAAAACAACACATAAATTAAAATACTAAGACGAATAGTAGAACTTAGCAACAACATTAACATCAACATGTTCAAACAAAGACATAAGCATTTCTAGGATATTACAACCAGCAACACAATATCTTTTTGTTGAAGCATCATCATAAGAACACATGCGTCGTTGTGAACAAGTCTCCAAGAACGAGTGGGTCCATTTAAGCCAGGCACCGTAACTAGCCTCTCAATTTTCCGAATCTTTTCACCTTGGACAATTTCTTCTCCTAACCATCCCTCCAAGTGTCTATGCAGATGCTCAAATGTCAGTTGTTCACCAATTTGATCTTCATCGGAGGCTTTACTGGAGAAAAAAACCAGTCCGGCGTCTCTTTTTATATATGAAAACGTTGGAAACTCTCCGGATGTTGAAGACATTTTTAAGATACAACTAAAGAAAAATAATTTAAGTGTAGCTAGGATCATTCAACATCAACGATATTTATAGTTCACAGCAAAATTTTTAAAATAATAAAATAATAAAACCCTCCGCCCATTACAGTGGCGGAGCCGTACAAAAATAATAAAATAACGAAAGCTTCTGTCCATTGCACTAACGGAACCGTACTTAAATAATAAAATAATAAAATAAATAAAACCCTCTGTCCATTGGAGTGGCGGAACCCTACTGCAATAATAAAATAACAAGAGCCTCCGCCCATTACACTGGCGGAACCGTACTTAAATAATAAAATCCTCCGCCCATTACAGTGGCGGAACCGTTTTTATTTATTACTATGATTAACATTTATTTTAATTTAAACTTATTTTTAAATATTAATTTTAATATTGATTTTTTATTTAATAGTAATTTTTATTTATTTTTAAAATTATATTTAAAAAAACGTTATTTAAACAGCTCCACCAATGTAATGGGCGAAAGCTGTATAAAATAAAGATCATCCACCCATCTATTGGGCGGAGCCTCTTACTTTTAATTTTTTGGCTTAAATGCAGTTTTGACCCCCCTAGTTTAAGGTTTTTGGAGTTTCGATCCCCCTAGTTTAAAAGCCAGGTTTCTAGTCCCCAAAGTTTTCAAATTTGGGATTTTTGAAGCCCCCCTCCATCTGGCTGCCCAAAAAGTGACATGGCACAGGGAGAGTAATGCCACGTATTATTTTCTTATTTCTTATTTAGAATAATATTTTTTAAACATTTAAATAAGTGATATTAATTTCCAAATGAATTTTTAATTTCATAATTCATATTTTCTGAAAATCCCAAATTGCTTAACCTAATTTCCTCTTCCATCCTTGCTTCTGGTCATCTACAACCTTCCTTCTTGGTACGACCTCCATCTACCTTCTATTCCATCTACCTTCTCTTCCTTCCTGCAAGCATCCAACATGTCTCAAAAATCTGTGTCGAATCCGAGCTACAGGAATCGTTCTGTTATACATGAATGCCACTGTGATATCGATGCTCCGTTGATGACGGCTTTGACCGATTCAAACCCAGGACGATGCTTTTTCGGATGTGGGATGTACAAGGTATGATATTCTTCAATTACAAAATTTGCTCCTCAGAATTGAGTATAGACTGAATATTTTGTGACCTCCATTGTTGCAGGTTCAAGGTTTCAAGAAGTGCAGTAATTTTGTTTGGTTGGATGAGGAAATGAATCTTAGGGCAAAGGAAGTGATTGGGAACTTACTCCACAACTTGAATGAAGAAAAGCAGAGGGTTAAAGAGTCAATGGTAAAAGAAGAAGAAACAAGGATGAAGATCAAATTTTTAAAGAAACAGTTGAAGTTTAATTGGTTCATAACCATCTTTGTGTTGGTTGCATTTGTTGCAACAATAATAATGAAATGATGTAGGTTTATTAGTATTGGAGGTTCATTGTTGTCTGTAGGAGGTTCTTTGTGTTGGTTGAAATGATCTAGGTTTATTAGTATTGGAGGTTTATTTGTATTGTTGTGTGTAGGTTTATTAATGTTGGAGTTTCTATGTTGTTTAGTTCGTAATGATGTTTGAGGTGTATAACTACTCATGGTTTATAATGAAATGATGATGTTTGAGGTTTATAAATTGCAATTGCACTTGAATTTGTTTCATTATGTAGACCATTAAGTATAACTTCTCAGTGTAATAATGAAACATTATGTAGGCCATTACAAATGCAGAAAAAATGGTCTACCTAAATACAGAAAAAATGCAGAATTTTTCAAAATGCAGATGCAGAATTATTATACCTAAATGCAGATGCAGAATTATAACTAATTAAACACAGAATTTTGTTGCAGAATTATACCAAATGCAAAACTATACCAAATGCAGAATTTTGTTGCAACACAGAATTATACCAAATGCAGAATTATTAAACACAGAATTTTGTTGCAACACTGAATTTTTTCCAAACGCAGATGCAGATACCAAATGCAGAATTATTAA